TCCGTGCGCAGCTGCAGGGGCTGCCCTGCCTGAGCGCCCACAGACTCAGGACTGCTGACCCCAGAGGTCAGAGGTCACAAGGAGAATGATGGGGGCTGGGAGCGGGGCTTTGGGGCAGATCTGCCTGATCTGAAAACCTACAGAGAAAGTTCTCTCCTGGGGGCCACTGTCACGTCCACAGCCACTTTGGAGACCTCGACTTGCTCTCTTGCTGCCCCCAGCCCGGCCTATACCACACAGTGGCCGAGTGAGGCTTCTGCACCGTCACTCCCTGAGCAGTTCCCAAACTGCCCGAGTCACGGAGGAGGAGGCACTCAGAACACAGAGGCAGCAAACGCCCCAAGAATGCCTGCCAGCGATGCCCTTCTGCTTTAAGGGCAGGGTCACCCACGGCCTGTGAGGTCAAGTCCCACTTCCCAGCTGGCCCTCACACCCCCACTCTCCAGTTCCACCGGCCACACGGTCTGGTCCGTTCGAGTCCTCTCACCCACGGGCGGTGAAAGCTGACTGGCTGCAACCTTGGGGCTCAGCCCTGTGGGACTGCAGAGCACAGACACACACACCCCCCACCCAACATCCTGAGGACGCCTTGCTGGCCCTGGGCTCCCAATGCTGGATCCAGATCCACTGCCAGACCTTGGCCATTCCCTCGCTCCTGTATGGGACATTCTGCCCTTCCATTCCGTAAGACAAGGACTCAGCTAGTTCTGACGCAGGCTGGACACCCGGGCTCCACTCACAAGTACGTGTCAGGGACTCCCCACTCCGGAGGCAAATCCTCAGGGGCCGGAGTTTCCATGGAAGGTTGCAAAACCCATGCTTGGGCCAGCGCCGCGGTTCACTAGGCTAATCCTCCACCTTGCGGCGCTGGCACACTGGGTTCTAATCCTGGTCGGGGCGCCGGATTCTGTCCCGGTTGCCCCTCTTCCAGTCCAGCTCTCTGCTGTGGCCCGGGAGTGCAGTGGAGGATGGCCCAAGTGCTTGGGCCCTGCACCCGCATGGGAGACCAGGATAAGTACCTGGCTCCTGCCATCGGATCAGCGTGGTGCACCGGCCGCGGCAGCCATTGGAGGGTGAACCAACTGCAAAAGGAAGACCTTTCTCTCTGTCTCTCTCTCTCACTGTCCACTCTGCCTGTCCAAAAAAAAAGAACCCATGCTTTAAGGACCACTGAAGTCTGGGGTATTATTGTCTTCAGGGTACAGATGGAGCAAATGAGGCTGTGACTCAATAAGCTGCCGAGATCATAGGGCAGGTGGTAGAACCAAGATTCACGGTGTTCCAGCCAGACAAGGGAATCAGCTATGGGGAGATGGCTACGGTGGAAGTCTGTAGGCATCGGCCTACTCCCTCTTCCTTCCACCCAAAGGTTGGCACTGTTTCCCCATTTCACAGGTGGGAAAGCAGAGGCCCAGAGAGGTTCAGGAACTTGCCTACAGTCCCAGCTGTCAACTCCCTGTGCAAAGTGCAGAAAATCCCCATGGTGGAAAGCGGACGAGTGACAGCTGATTTCTCTGCAGATCGTGCTGGTTCTGGGACAACGTTCAGCAAGTCTCTGTCCTGGGGCTCAGAGGCCAGGCCGCAGGGGAGGGGTCTGGTGCAGTGACCACTGCAGGGGAAGCCAGTCTGGCTCCCGGAAGTGAGGGAATGAAAGGAAGTGAGGAAAGACGACCCCAACACGAAGGCAGCCTGCGCTCACGTTTGTTCTTTAGGTGCCTCACGGCAGAACACGGGAGAGCAGGACCTGGCTTCCGAGAAAGGTGTCACACCCTCACCCCCCTGCCGCCCTGGGCAGCAGGCATGGGACACAGGCCTGACCTGTGACACAGGAGGCCCAGGACTCAGACCAGGCCCCCAGCTGGCCCTGCAGGAGGGTCCGGAGCAAGTGCGAACGGAGTCAGGACTGAGGCACGCTGCCCTCCCTTAGCGTGCAGCCCTGGGGGCCCAGCACCCCAAGGCCTGGAGCAGTCCTCCCTGATCAGGTGGGAAAGGGAGGAGGAGAGGCTCAGGTAACCCCATTCTTTGCCAGCCTTTGCTCCTGGGCCTTCAGAGCGGAGCCCAGAGACCACACAGGAAAGTCCATTCAGGGCCAGCTCTGTTTTTTTCTGAAGATCCCAGACCACCCTCCTGCTTTTTAAACCGACAAACAGAAGCAAAAACAAACCTAACTTGAGCGGCTCCAAACTCGACAGAGTGGGTGGAATCCGTCCTGGAGCTTGCCTGCTCCGTGCCAGCTAAAGGGGGAGGGCCATGGGGTGCAGGTGCAGGGAGGGGGAGGGGTGCTGTCAATTCTTTTGTTTGAAACCACATCAGGCTATTTGGGGTTCACCTGCCCCAGTGTGCCACACGGGGACGGGGCAAGGAGCACCCTCCCCGCAGCCTCCGTACCAGACCGCTTAGCAAACCGATTTGCCTAAGTGTTCACAGGCCCTGCCAGGCTAAGGGCTGCCTGGAATACTGATGGGCTGCCTCCCCCAGGGCCACGGGGGGCCTGTGGGTACCCACAGCTCCCCAGAGAGGATGGCAGGGCCACCGGTCCCCCTGGCTGGGCAGCAGGTGCAGTCACACATGGCCCCATCACACACTTGCAGGAGAGCTGTAGAAACAGCAAGTAGAGTTTGGAAGATAAAACCCAAGCCCGTCTGGCAAGTTCCCAAGGAGACCGCAACCCCGCCTGATCTTGTGCGTCCGAGAGGCAGTTCAGGTCCTGCCTCGCTCTAGAGAGGGGAGCAGAGACGCTCGGCGGAGCTCAGTCATCTGCCCACGATCAGGGGAGGAGATGAGATTCACACAGCCCAGCCGGCCCAGCTATCAGCTATAGGCTCTTGCTCACTGATAAGGAAGTGACACTTCCTAGCACAGGAGAAAGAGGGTACACTGGGGCCAGAGTCAAGCAATGGAGTCACCAGCGTCCCGATGAAGTGCCCACAGGACGGGGTGCCAGCCAGCCCGTGGCGAGAGCAGGAGACAACCCCGACAGCTGCTTCTGGTGGCACCTGCTTCCTAAGTGAGCTCAGAACCTCTGGGAGCCTCCGGGGGCTCGTCTGTGAAAGGGGATAGCACCACCTCAGGGGCCCTGTGGTGGGTGAGCTCTCCAGGCCAGGGAGCTCAGTCCACCCGTGCCACCCCAGACAGGAGACATGCCGCCACTTCAGCTTGGGCACCACAGTGCATCTCAGAGCTCCAGGTCCCTGCAGAGAAAAACCCACTCTCTAACGGAAGAGGCTTCAGCGTTCTGTCCCCATGGTGGGGGTGGGAAACATCCCAAGGCCACACGTGGCTTTCAGAGACAAACTCAACAAGCACGGTGCCGGCTGTAGCTGGAATTAGTGGTAATAAAGCTGAGTGTTCATTTCGCCCCAAAGCAAAGCTCTGCAGCCACAAAATCTGTAGCAGCCGTGTTCCAAGGGGACTGGGACTCGGGGGGGGCTCGGATTCTGCGGGGAAAACCCTATACCTCCACCCCCCGCCCCGGGGCGCAGAAAAGCTCGGTTCTGGCCCAGTCCTCCCCTCCTGCATTATTCACTGTGGCAAGCGAGATGCCGCGCCAGGCCAGGGCTGCATCTGTCTCCCTGTCCAACACCTTCGCCTGGGTGTCCTGCAGAGAGTCCCTCTCGCCAAGTGGCACTGATGACGCAGCGGCAAAGCCAGAAACGCTCCAGCAACAACCCCTGCTTCTCCTTCTTTCCAAAGGCCCCCGGGAAGGTGAGGCCGGAGAGGCTGAGGAGCGCACTCCACAGCAGGGTGCAGCGCCAACGAATGAAACCACCCGACTCCGAGCCGGCCTGCAGCAGCAGCCCGTATCGGGTGGGAGTGCATAGAGTTACAGAGAAACGCGATCAGTAACAAAATAGCCCTCTGCATTCAGCCCTGCCCTGAACTCGCAGGCTGGCGATGGTAAATAAAGGAAACACGGAGGCCAGGCTGTCCCACCCCGGTGGGCAGAGCGCCCGCCCCACCACCCCCGCAGAAGCCGCTGGTCCCCCAAATCACAGGGAGCACCCACGACCCTCCCAGGCTCAGGCTGTCACTCGGGGAGGCCTGGATGCATTGTCTCCGAGAAGGCCTTTATTCTCACCTCCAGACAAGCAGTTCGGGCAGCAGCAAGGCCACCAACACCTAGGGTCAGGCCATCCAAAAAATGTGAAAGAACAGGGAGCCCCCTCCGCCAAGCAGGGGGCAGACCAGGGAAGAGGGGATGCAGGGAGCAGAGCCAGAGAGCTGCCACCAGAGGGCCAGGAGGCGGGGCTGCTGGGTCCCACAGACCCCGGCTGGGGACACCTCACGGTCCACGGGGTGGGGGTGGGGGGCGGCACCAGTCGCCCGGGTGTGGAGCTGCCGCTGAGCCCTTCCTGGGGTCAAAGGTCCTCCGCACAGCCGGCCACAACGCTTCCTGTAAGGAGATCAGCGGCTCACCAAAGCCTCCACCCCACAACCAGGAGGCGGGCAGGCGCAGGGGCCCGGCCAGCCTCCAGCCTCGGGGCGCGTCCCTCGGATAAGTCTGAGCGGCTGGCCCTAGGAAGGAACAGGAACCGGCGGCGGTGGGAAGCCGGAAAGCTCCCCCTGCCCGGCAACCCTCTGCAGCCACAGCACGCACCGGCACTAGGACGCTGCTTGGGCGCCGGGGCGCCTGTTGCTCCAAGTAGGAGGGGAAAGTCACGCGCTCCGGGGCCTTTCCCAATTTTCCACGAGGAACTTCCCGCTGCCGGGCTAGGGCTTCCCGGAGCGCGCAGGCGGCCCCGCGGCGCCGGACGCTACCCCTGACAAGGGCGCCGGAGAGAAATCCTGGAGCCGCCAGGGCGGCAGACGCTGGGCTGGCTGAGCAGGGACGGGCACCATCACTTGACCGAGCCGCTCCCACCCAGCGCCGCTCGGCGGGTGGGCGCGGGACTCCCCGGCCCACGGGCCAGGCCAGGCGCAGCAGGGGTCTGGAGCGGCGCCCGGGGCCAGCGCGGGCCGACGCCGGGGGGCCCCTCGCCGCCCCGCAGCGCGGTTCTTACCGTGCAAGCCATTGGGGATGCTGCGGTGATGCGGCGGCGCCGAGAGATCGTCCAGGGACCGGCGCGTGACTCCGGCCTTGCCGTCGGGCGCCTTGTGCGGCCCGGGAGGCAGCAGCGCGGGCGGGACGTGGTGGTGGTGGTGGTGGTGGTCCGGGCTGCCGCCGCTGCCAGCACTGGAGGTGCTGCTCCCGTCGCCCACGTCGCGGGTCCCCGCGCCCGCCGCGCCGCCCGCCAGCGGCCCGCTCAGGCTGGCCTGGCTGTCGATGGAGCTGCGGGAGCCCGCGCCGCCGCTGCCGCTGCCGCCCGCGCCCCCCGCCGCCAACGCCGCGCGCTCCTCGTCCAGCAGCAGCACCAGCTCCTTGAGCTCCAGGTTCTCGCGCAGCAGGGCCTCCTGGCGCGCCTCGAGCTCGCGCAGCTTCTGCTGCGAGCGGGCCACCTCGTGCCACACGGCGCCGGCCGCGTGGCGCCCGAAGCGCTGCCACTCGCGCGCCAGCTTGCGCCCCTTCTGCCGGTCGTCGTCCAGGAAGCAGCAGAGCTCGCGCAGCTCCTGGTTGTCGTCCTGCAGCCGCCGGTTCACGTCCTTGAGGCCGCGGATCTCCAGCAGGTGCTGCTGCAGCCGCCGGTTCACGTCGCGCATCAGGCCGCCGTGCTCCAACATGAGGCCCACCTTCTCGCCCTCGGCGCGCCGCAGCCGCCGCGCCAGCTCCTCCTTGCTCCAGCGCAGCAGCTCCTCGTCCGGCACCTGGCTCAGCTCCTCCGACGCCGCCGCCGCCGCCGCCGCCGGGGGCTTCGCCATGGCGGGGCCGTCACCGCGGCATCGCCCTCGCCGGGCCGGCGCTCCCCGCGCCGCGGCTGCGCTGGGCCGGTCCGCGCGCGGGCGGGGGGCGGCTGGGGGCGCGTGCGGCCCGCCCCGCGCCGCCTCGCGCGCCCTCACGCAGCGCCCGCCTGGGCCACCGGGGAGCCCGCGTGCCTAGGGACTCGGGAGCGGGGACGGCTGCTGCGTCGGCGGCCGCCGAGCCGGGCTCTCCGCGCTGGGGAGAAGCGGGTGGAGGCCCGCCCCCGGCCCCGCTCCCCGAGCCCCGGCCGCCCCGCCCATCCCGGGCGGGGAGCAGGCGGGGCGCCGCGGCCCGGCCCCGCCTCCGGGGAGCGCGGCGTGGGGGAGGCGCGGCGCGGCGTCCCCCCGCGCGATGCGCCCGCCCGCCCGGCGCCCTGCCAGAGGCGCGTTCGAGCCGCGGTCCCGCCCTCCCGCGCGTCCGATTGGGCCTGTCCGGGGGTGTGCGGGCGGGGCGGGGCGCGCGCGGGGAGGCCGCGGACTTGGTACGGTCCGCCCGCTGCCTTCCAGCGGCCCCCCCTCCCCGCCGTTCAAGTTTCTGCGCCCGGAGGACGCGGCCCTGGCCAATCCCTGGGCTACAGGGCGCTTTTAAAATGCAGGTACGGCTGCGGGGAGGGGGCCGGTGGGAAAGGTGGGGCAGGGCTTCCCTTAAAGGCGACGCGCGGAAATGGGAGCTGGGCCCCCTCCCGGGCCCGCACCACCGCCCTCCCTCCCTCCGCCCCAATAAACAAATCTCCGCGACCTGGGCGGCCGCGCCTCCTCTCCCTCCGGGGCACCGGAGTTCAGCCCGGCCCGAGGCCGGACAAACAATAGGGCTGTGGCACGGGGGTCGCTGTCCCCCGCGGCAGGGCCGCTCTTTGTCCCTCTGTCTGCTCCTGGGCTCCTCCGCCCGCTTCTCCACACCCCTGCCGAAGGGCGAACGGGGGCCCGGGCTCCCCTTTTACCCCCTGGTCTATGTGTCACGCTGCTGCCGACGGGGGGGGGGGGGGGGGCGCGTCCCGGACCACGGTGCGCGCTCTCCGCTACCCCGCTGGGGAGAGACTCCCCCGCTTCTCTGAGCGGTGCTGAGAGCCGCGCGCCTCTGTCCACTCGCTCGCTAAGCCCCTGGGATTAGGGGGAGAATCTGCTGTTGGCGAGGTGGGAACAACTGGGGGGCGGGGGCGCCGAGCCGACCGCAGAACCCTTCCCAGCCGGCAGCCTCGCGGGCACCTGTAAGTCTGTCTCCTTGTCCTCAGGTACCCCCAAGCGCGTTTATGGCTGAGAAGCGTCCCGGGGTGAGGGGCATTCCTCCCCTGGGACCGCATAGAGCGAACCCGCTTAAGCGACCCGGGGCGGCCCGCGTCCCGGAGCGCGCTCCTGCGCAGCCGCTGATGCCCCGTGACAATCGCTCCAGCGTCCCCCAACCCCCAGCGCTGTGTGCCCGCGCCTCTCCGTCAGGCCTGTTCTAGGGGGCTGGACAGCAGAGGCCACCGCCCGCGGGGAGCAGCCGATGACCACGCTAAATAGCTGAGAGACCGTCCCAAGTGCTGCGCAGGGACCTGAAGACATGCCGCTGCCTGCCTGCGGAAGCAATCGCTTTAGGTCTGTGGTCAGGAGGGACTCCAGCGCATGGATCTGAGTGACAAGGACAAAGAGAGAGGCAGGGTGTTGCAGGTGCAGGGAACTGTAGTGTGAGGACCCTAGGGCTGGCTGGTGAGTGGTCTGTCCAGAGAAGGCCGCTGGGACTGCGACTGGGGCTGGGGCTGGGGTGAGGGCTGAGGTCACAGGTCAGAGGCCCTGGGTCAGGTAGGATTGGCAGGCAGCCAGGAGAGCAGGGGCGGGGTTTAGCAGGGATACAGTCTGATCTGGCTTACCTTTTAAGAGGCTCACCCTGCCCACGTATGGAGGGGCACACAGAGTGCAGATTCCATCCAGCGGCCCCAAACCCTGTCCCCACAGATGGTCAGGGGGCATGGCTTCCCAGGTTAAGTCCCAGGCGTGCGGGGCGGGGGGGGTCCTCCAGCTATAATGGAGGGGTGCCGTCCGCCCCACTGAGGCTCAGCGCTCTGAGAGCCAAGCCCAGCCAGGTTTGGGTTTAGAGAAGGAGGGGGTTTCAGCTTCCTTGTGGGGGAACTGCACGAAGGTCTGTCCCCACCCCCACCCCAGGAAGCCGGATTAGCCCCCTGGGGGCTCCTGCGGAAGGAAGGGTTTTGCTCCAGGGGGTGAACCTGGTACACTTGCGAGGGCAGTGCTGACAGCCCACACTGGGCTTTGGGGGACCCCCACCCCGCTTTGGTCCCTGGCCCCAGGCAGTCCCCATGGCCTCTTCTCCATCTTTGTGCTCCTTCTGGACTGGCGGTTTCTGCTGAGACTGTTGGGTTTGTTTGCTTTCCCTGCAGATGCGTGTACTCTGCATCCTCCAGCCTAGAGCCCTGAGAGCATTGCCCACGTCCTCGTGGAAGAGCAAGGCGCTGTGCTGGGGGTCCCAGGGCACCCGAGGAAGGGTCTCTGCTCCCCCACCCCAGGGCTGGATGTGCAGCAGAACTGAGAGGCAGGGCCAGGAGGTGAGAGGGCCCAGGGCTCAAACAGGGACCCCAGCCAGGGGGAGCCTCCAGGTCAGAGTCACATCCCCCAAGGCCCCACCCCAGGTCTGCCAGAACACTCCCACGCTGCAGAGCCAGGGCCGGAGAGGTCAAGAGAAAGCAGTAGCACAGAGCTGTGCTTGCCCTGAGAGCAGGACAAGCCCGTGGAGCCCCACCCATTCTCTAGATCCTGGGAGTGTCTCAGGGCATAAGGGCACCACGCCTCCACCCAGGATTTTTAGTTTGGGGTTTATTTTGGAGACTCTCCCTGGGTGTTTGTGTCCATTTAGAGCCACACCAAATATCCCCAGGCACCAGGTCCCTGGGGGGGAAATGGCTGCAGACAGGCTGTCGCCCTCGGGGGAGGGGTGGGGGCTTGCTTCCTTGCTTTTGATGGTTTAGTTTGAGAGATGGAGGGAGAGATCTTCCATCCACTGGTTCACTCCTCAAGTGCCCACAACCACCAGGGCTGGCCAGGCTGCAGCCAGGTGTCCCACGGGAGTGGCAGGAGTCTCCCAGGATCTACGTTAGCAGGGAGCTGGCGCTGCGATGTGGAACGTGGTGTCTTAACCACTCGGCTACACACCTGCTCCCGAAGAGGCTCTCCCGTTCCTGTCCGTGGGGGAGGCCTCGGCTCGGACCCCAGGTTGAGCACCATTTGACGTGTGCCGGCGGAACACGAGACCCTTGCGTGCACAGCATCTGAAGATGCAGAAACGAAGCCCCAGGAAGGGAACACCGGAGCCACTTGCATTTACTGCTCCTCTGACACGCAAAGGCGCATTACTGCCTCCTGGTTCCTACATAAAGGCCTGTGCTGTGCGTGTGCGATTCTATGTGGGTTGTGAGTGCCACAAGGAGAGGGGCAGAAGCTATCCTCATGGCGCGTCTGAAGCCCTGGGAGCGGCCTCGTGGAGGAGCTGAGGTCTGAGGGCTGTGCAGGAGTTTGTCAGATGGTGGAAGGGGGAGGAGAGTCCCGAGGGAGGGCACAGCTTCTGCAGAGGCCCAGGGGCCAGCGGGGGTGACGGAGGGAGTCAGCAGGAGGTCAGGCAGTAGGGAGCCACGGGTGGGCTTAGAGCGCAGGAGAGACCCAAGCAGACTGTCATGTGACCGTAGTGCAGAGGTGAGGGGGGAGGGCAGCTGCACCTGGGAGGTGTGGAGGAGGCTCTGAGGCCAGAGCAGGGTGAGAATGGAGTCTCTCACCCTCGGTGCCCCTCAGCTCCCCACCCGTCAGCTGGCGCCTCACCCCAAGGAGCCAGGCTGGGAAGGGAGCGCAACGCAACACGGGGCAAGTGAGTCAGCACGCTCTTTGCAGGACCAGCTGTCACTTTGCAGGAAAGACACTGTGCTGGTGCCAGCACTGTGGCATAGCAGATAAAGCTACGACCTGTGACACTGGCATCCCGTATGAGCACCAGTTCGAGTCCCGGCTGCTCCATTTCTGATCCAGCTCTCTGCTAATGCACCTGGGAAAGCAGCAGAACATGGCCCAAGTGCTTGGGCCACTGCACCCTTGTGGAAGACCCAGAAGAAGCTCCTGGCTCCTGGCTTCAGCCTGGCCCAGCTCCAGCCGTTGCAGCCATTTGGGGAGAGAACCTGGGGATGGAAGACTCTCTCTCTTTCTCTCTCTCTCTTTCTCTCTCTCTCTCTCTCTCTCTCTCTCTCTCTCTCTCTTTCTATAACTCTGTCCTTCAGATAAACAAATATCTTTTTTTAAAAAAAGGAATTAAAAAAAAAATCCACTGTAGTCTTGACGAATAAAGAAATGCTGAAAAGCAGGCACGCAGGAACCCAGCCCTGGCTTGAGGAGTGACTACCTCTGCGCTGACCCATCCTGGGCGCAGTGCCCCGCGGTGCGGTGCCCTGGACACTGCATGCTGTGTGGGTGAACCTCGCACTTGGGGTCAGCAGCACTGCCCTCATCTTCTGTCTGGTGTCGCCTGGACTAGCATTGTGGCACCGTGGGCTAAGCACTAGCAATGGCTTTCTGTTGTTTTGCAGCACGCCTTTTCCCCTTATTGTGCAGCTCCGTGTAGCTGTCATTCATGCGTTTGCTTTCTTTTTCCTTAAAATTTGTTTATTTATTTTCATTTGAAAGGCAGAGAGAGAGAGAGAGAGCGCGATCTCCATTGGCTAGTTCACTCTCCAAATGCCCACAACAGCCAGGACTGGGCCAGAGCAAAGCCAGGATCCCAGAACTCAATCCAGGTTTATGTGGGAGGGTGGCAGGGACCCAGGGACTTGACCCATCGCCTGCCGCCTTCTGGGGTACCCATTAGCAGAGAGCTCAGAAGCAGAGGAGCTAGAACTTGAACCAGGCACTCCACTGTGGATTGCAGGCATCCCAAGCCGCATCTCAACCATTACACCAAATGTCCACCCCGTGTCATTCACTCATCACAGTTATGTGCAAGGTTTCTCAACCTCAGCCTGGCTGGCATTTTGGACAGATCGGTCCTTGTGGAAGGTCGTGCTGGGGGTTGTGCTGTCTTCTGGCATTGAGGGTCTCTCTCTTTTAGAGGTAGGTAGCATCCCTGCCCCCAGTTTGAAAAGCAAAACAAGGGACTAGCATTGTGGCACCGTGGGCTAAGCACTAGCGTCCCATATCCCGGTGCTGGTTTGAGTCCTGGCTGCTCCACTTCCAATCCAGCTCTCTGCTAATGCACCTGGGAAAGCAGCAAAAGATGACCCAAGTGTGCGGGCCACTGCCACCCATGTGGGAGACCAGGAATGAGTTTCTGGCTCCTGGCTTCTGCCTAGCTGGGACCCAGCTGTTGTGGCCATTTGGGGAGTAAACCTGTTGATGGAAGAGTTCTCTCTCTGTTGCTCTGCTCCTCAAATAAATAAATGAATGAATAATCTCTTTTAAAAAATCCCCAGACAGTGTGAGATTTTCTCCAGGGGCAAAAGGAGCCCTGACAGAGAAGAGGAAACAGCGTAGCAGGTTCACCCACTTGTGTGATTTATTCAGAATGTTTTTATTTATCAAATTGATGCTTTCACACATGTATCTGACTGAGTCATCTGACTTAGAAGACAATGACAGGGTTTCTTTCAGGAGACAGGAGCCAGTCCCCACACATGTGGCCTCTGCGCCTGGCCGTATCCCCGTGACTGTCAAAGATGTCCTGTGTGCGTCAGACACCCCTGGGCCATGTCTGCCCAGCCCAGGGAGACCCCTTGCCCAGCATGTCCGGCCTTAGGTGCTGCCCTAGGCCCCAGGTCTACAACCAGCAAGGCCGCTCCTGCCCACTGCAGAGATCTGAGAACAATCTCTTCTGTGCCTGAATATTTCATGCAGGAGGGAGGAACGAAAGTCGCAAAGACCTTAATTGTTAATGTGGCTTCTGCTGGCTGCAGGCCCAGCCTGGAGGCCCCTCCTGTGCGATACAACAGCAGCAGGAACAGGGTTCCTCATGTACCCCGCGCCATGTCACCACCTGCTCTGGGTGAGGCTGGGCTAACCTGAAATTGTCCTCAGGCCCCCAGCGGGTTAGGGAGAGCGGTGCCAGTAACAGCCCAGGTGGCTGGGTTCCCTATCTGCTCACACAAGTCCCGGCACCCACTCCGCACAGAACCTGTTTGTTGAACCGATGCATGATACAGGAGGAAGCTGGATTAAGTAGAAAAGGCCTGGGACTGAGAATTTGTGAGTGGCAAAGGCACACCCTTCTCTGAGCCTCTAGACGGGAACCTGAAGGTGGCCCCTCACCCACCTCCTTGGATGGGGAGATACTGGAAGCACAAGAAAAGGCCAGCGAGGACCCTGGGCCACGCGGTACAGCAGGTGGGGGCTGCTGGCCTGGGGGAGGGGTAGCCTGGAGTGGGAATTCTCAACTCACAGAAAACCAAAGAGCGGGGTCACCTCTCCAGAACCGGCTTGGGCTGGCCTAGTGGCACAGAGGGTTGAGCCGCCTCTTGTGACGCTGGCGTCCCGTAGCAGAGCGTTGGTCCGAGTCCCGGCTGCTCTGCTTCCCATCCAGCTCCTGCTAATGCTCCTAGGAGGGCTCAGGTGCTGGGCCCCTGCACCCACGTGGGAGACCTGGATGGAGTTCCAGGCCCCGGTCCTCAGACTGGCTGGTGCAGGCATTTGGGGAGTGAACCAGCATATGGAATCTCTCTCTCTCTCTCTCTCTCTCTCTCTCTCTCTCTCTCTCTCCCTTTAAGATAGATGAAAATGAACATTAAAAAGAAGAAAAGACTCAGCCCAACCATCCCAGCACAGCACAGGTCCCTGCCCCAAGGCCCTGTCCCACCTGGGCCTCAGCCACCTGCTGCTTGGACCCCAGAACCAAGGCAGCCGTCAGCCCTCTGCCTCTCAGCCTGGAAGCCCTGAAAATGCAGGTGCTCGGGCCCAGCCCATACCTGGAGGTATCACAGCAGCCAGGCACTGGGCTCAGGTGAGACTGTCACTCCCTGGAACCAGACAGAGCAGACAGCAGGTGCGCATGCGTCTGGGGGGTCCCACCCCAAGTGTCTGGAGTTAGGGTCTTTCTCTGCCATCACCCACATTCCCTGGACAATCCTGAAACGTGCTGCGTGTATCTAGGGAGAGGGAAGGGGACTCGGGCTTCTGGAGTCGGGTGGGTGTCCACGAACTGCCCAGGAAGGGAAAGGTCGCGAGAAAGAAGGGATACCCCCGAGTTCTCCGGGACTCGCAGACACACGCCACCTAACTACAGACCAAGCCAGCTCCGCGGGGACAAAAGACCCCATGGGGCACGTCCGTGTAAAATTTCAGAGCACCAGGAGGCGGGGGAGACAGAGCCACTTCCAGAGAGTCAGGAGTCAGAGTGACACCAAGGTCCCCGCTGGAGCCTGGAAGCCGGAGCAGGGCCTCAGCACCCGAAGATGATTCCAACACCTGCACAGTCAGGCGTGAGGGCAGCACCAACATCGTGTGCAGCAGGTCAAGCCACCACCTGTGCTGCCAGCATCCCATGTGAGCGAGGTTCGAGTCCCAGCTGCTCCACTTCGGAGCCAGCTCCTTGCTGATGCTCCAGGGAAGGCAGTGGAAGACGGCCAGGCGTGACCTAGCCCCCATTGGCCTGTTGCAGCCACCTGGGGGTGAACCTGCAGGTAGAAGGTGTGTGTGTGTGTGTGTGTTTGCACGTGTCTCTTTCCCTAACTCTGCCTTTCAAATAATTAAATATTTTTTCTTAAAAAAAAAAAAAAAAAAACTGTGGGGCCGGCACTGTGGTGCAGAGGGTTAAAGCCCTGGCCTGAAGCACCGGCATCCCATATGGGTGCCAGTTCGAGTCCCAGCTGCTCCACTTCCCATCCAGCTCTCTGCTATGGCCTGAGAAAGCAGTAGAAGATGGCCCAAGTCCTTGGGCCCCTGCACCTGCGTGGGAGACCCGGAAGAAGCTCCTGGCTCCTGGCTTTGGATTGGTGCAGCTCCAGCCGTTGAGGCCATCTGGGGAGTGAACCAGCAGGTGGAAGACCTCTCTGTCTATACCTCTTTCTGTAACTCTGTCTTTCAAATAAATAAAATAAATCTTTTTTAAAAATGTGAAGACAGAGATTTTTTCAGATTAAAAACAAAACAGGAGGCCGGCGCCATGGCTCAATAGGCTAATCCTCCACCTAGCGGCGCCGGCACATCAGGTTCTAGTCCCGGTCGGGGCGCCAGATTCTGTCCCGGTTGCCCCTCTTCCAGGCCAGCTCTCTGCTATGGCCCGGGAGTGCAGTGGAGGATGGCCCAAGTGCTTGGGCCCTGCACCCTATGGGAGACCAGGAGAAGCACCTGGCTCCTGCCTTTGGATCAGCGTGGTGCACTGGCTGCAGGGCGCAGGGCGCCGTCCGCGGCGGCCATTGGAGGGTGAACCAACGGCAAAAAGGAAGACCTTTCTCTCTCTCTCTCTCTCTCACTGTCCACTCTATCTGTCCAAAAAAAAAAGGGGGGCCTGCGCTGTGGCGTAGTGGGTAAAGCTACCGCCTGCAGTGCCGGCATCCCATATGGGCACCAGTTTGAGTCCACTTCTGATCCAGCTCTCTGCTGTGGCCTGGGAAGGCAGTGGAAGATGGCCTAAGTCCTTGGGCCCTTTACCCACGTGGGAGACCTGAAAGAGTGAGGCTTCAGGTTGGCCCCACTCTGGCCATTGTGAACATTTAGGGAAGAAACCAGAGAATGAAAGATTCTCTCTTCTCTCCCCCTGCCCCCCCCCCCCAGTGTAACTCTGCCTTTCAAATAAATAAATAAGTCTTTTTAAAAAATGGCCTCCCAGACATCCTCTCTAATGTTAGGAATTAACACAGGGAATCCCAGGGTGTGGACAAAGGAAAGCCCCAGTGCCAGGGCTTTGCTGCAGAAGGGAGCCATGAGCTGAATGGGGGGGGGGGGGGGAGCAGGCGCCGGGATGGGGAGGAGGGCGCCTGACTCGCAGCCTCCCTGGGGCGAGGCTGGAGCGTTATCTGAGAGTGTGCTGATAAGTCCAGAGCAAACCAAGCCAGGCACAGGAAACCCAGAAGTCTGCAAGGAAGGAGCCGGGTCCTGGGACTCCTCACAGCTCAGGTGGCTGCACCGTTTGTATTGCACACAAGACCAGGTTAGTGCCACACTGCCGTACAGCGACACGGGCAGGAGGGGCAGCCCGCAGGCGTGGGGGACACTAAAGCTGCAGAGCGCATCAGGAGCAGCGCAGGCGTCTCGTTTTCGAGGACAGAGACAAGTGTGGAAGAGCGGAATGAGATTACCAGGGTGGGGGCGGGGGCAGGGGCGGGGAGCTCTCACTTTTAACAAGCTTTTAATTTTATTACTGGAACTCTCTGCATGCATTTATTTTATTTTTTAAATTTAAAAAATATTTATTTATTTAATTGAAAGTCAGAGTTACACAGAGAGAGAGGTCTTCCATCTGATGGCTCACTCCCCAATTGGCCGTAACCACCAGAGCTGCACTGATCCGAAGCCAGGAGCCAGGAGATTTTTCCAGGTCTCCCATGTGGATGCAAGGGCCCAAAGACTTGGGCCATCTTCCACTGCTTTCCTAGGCCATAGCAGAGAGCTGGATCTGAAGTGGAGCAGCCAGGACTTGAACTGGTGCACATATAGGATGCCGGCACTGCAGGCAGCCACTTCACCTGTTATGCCACAGTGCTGGCCCCCATTTTTTTTTTTTTTAAAGATTTATTTATTTATTTGAAAGAGCTACAGAGAGAGGTCTTCCACCACTGGTTCACTCCCCAAATGGCTACAATGCCCAGAGCTGGGCCAGCCAGGAGCCAGGAGCTTCATCTGGGTCACCCATGTTGGGGCAGGGGCCCAAGCACTTGGGCCATCCTGTACTGCTCTCCCAGGCCATTATCAGGGAACTGAATCATAAGTGAAGCCGCCAGGACTCAAATCAGCACCCATATGCGACGCTGGCGGCTTTACGTGTTATGTTGCAGCACCGGCCCTGTGTTTTTCTTTTTAAAGATTTATTTTATTATTTGTTATTTGAAAGGCAGAGTGACAGAGAGACAGAGATCTTCCATCCACTGCTTCACTCCCAAAAAATAGCCCCAACAGGCAAATTTAGGCCAGGTCAAATCCAGAGCCAGGAATTCTACTCAGGTCTCCCACGTGGGTGGCAGGTCCCAAGCAGTTGGGCCATCCTCCACTGCCCTCCCGGGTGCATTAGCAGGGAGCTGGATTCGAAGTGGAGCAGCCAGGAAAGCCACGGAAGATGACCCAAGTTCTGGGGCCCCTGTCACCCATCTGGGAGACCCAGACAGAGCTCCAGGCGCCTAGCTTCAGCCTAGACCAGCCCCCGCCGTTGTGGCTATTTTGTGAGTGAAACAGCAGATAGGAGATCTGCTTTCTCTGTCTTCTCTGCCCCGCCCCGCCCTGTAACTCTGTCTTTAAAATAAATTGGAAGGAAGAGAAGGAGGGAGGAAGGAAGGGTGGACAGAACTGGAATGGTCTCTCCGATATGGGATCTGGCGTCCCAAGCAGTGGCTTAACCCACAACATCACAATGCTGCCCCTGTGAGAAGTGTTTTTAATTAAAAAAAAATTTAAAAAAAGCCTGGCATTTGTGACCCTGGAAGCCAGCAGATCACAGAGAAACCGGTTGCTTTTAAAAGGTTCAGGAAAAGGATTTCCTGCCTGGATTCTTTGCCCTTGGAGAGGATCAGCCAAATACGAGATTGGAACATTTTCAGAGGTGCAAGTCTCAAAAAAAGAAAGATGAAGGGCAGTGTATTTTCCAGGAAGCTCCCCTCCCCTCCTCGGTGGGTGAGAGTGACCAGGGAGCAGGTGCCTCACCCGGGAGGCAGTGGCGGGAAGAGGGCACCACCTCACAGGGCCCAGAAGAGAGGGGCCTGATTTGAAACCCACACAGGATGCAGTGTCCCGGGGTCAGGAGACTTAGATAAGATCAGGTGAAAAACTAAGACACACAAATACCTTGTAAACTGGAAAGGAGGAAGGGAGAGAGGGAGGAAGGGAGGGAAGGAGAGGGGAGGGAGGGGAGAAAGAAAGAGGCATGAACTGCACTTCACGACCCTCCCACAGTCACCGTCCTAAAACCCTCGATCAGCGATCAGCGTCAGCGGAGAAGTGGATAAAACCCTGGGGGGAGGCCGGTGTGCAGGTGGACACGGCGGCTCAGGCTGCAGAAATGTCTGGGACTGGAGTTTCAGGAAGCAGCGCCTGATGGACAAGTGGGGAGCCCCAAACAAGCACAAGGTGGGAAAACGTCTTCGTAGACGCTCGATCTTTTTTTCTTTTCAGAACCTAAGTGTGCACACGCGTGCATAGAACACACATCTCATAAGCAGAGCACAGCCTGCCCTCCCGCTGGGGCTGGGGTCGCCCCTGATGAAGCCTCAGACCCGACCCTCCCCAGGGCCTCCCTGCTGCAGGCTCCACCCACCCGGCCAGCCCCTTGCTTCCAGTCATTTCCGGTTAGGAAAGCTCTCTGGGCTGCTTCCTCTTCCCACCCTGCCAACAGGCCTGCAAGGTGAGCAGCAATTGTGCCCGCTTTTCCTACAGATGTTGGGGCGCGGGTGCGGCCTGGGCTCCCCGACACACCCCTGCTCTGGCAGGTGCACCCTTCAGGCAGGCCCCAAGAGCAAGGGACCCGCAGCCCCCGCTGGCATTGGGGCCCGGGGCTCTCAGCAGGACGCTGCACGATTTATTCTCCCTGATATTTCGTCACACATCCTACCCTTAGTGCCTGCTGGAAGGCACATTTTACCGAGCAGCGGGGACACCCCTAGCTGACAAAGAGCGGGCTGGCGCCTGCTGGAGCTGTGTGAAGACATGGTGTCCTGGGATGGGATCCTGGGGACACGGTGCAGGCAGTGGACAGCTGCCTCCAGGGCACAGAGAAGGCTACCCTACCCGGGGCTGGGAGGCACCGTCCTGTTCCTGTTCCTCCAGTGAACACACAGAGACGCTCAGCCAAGGAGTGAAGTGTCCGGCGCCCTCTGGACTCGGCATTTACATCTTCTCCCCACACTGTCCGCCTTCGGGGGATGGGCTCCAAGCCCCCCAGTGTATGCTAAAACTGCAGATAGTGCTGACCCCCGAATATTCTGTTTCTCCTATGCATACACGTATGATGAAGTTAACCCATAAATTAGGCACAGTAACTACTAGTAGGACAATCACAACCATACACTGTAATAAGAGGTAAATCTCTTCTCCCCAAATCTCTTTTTTTTTCAGAATTATTTATTTTTTTATTCTCATTTTATTGGAAAGGCAGAGAAGGAGGGAGGAAGGGAGAGAGAGAAAGAGAGAGAACGCTCACTTCTAACTGCTGGTTCACTCCCCAAATGCCCACAAGAGCCAGGGCTGGGCCAGGCTGAAGCCAGGAGCCAGGAGCTCCATCTGGGTCTCCCACGTGGGTGGCAGGGGCCCAAGGACTTGAGTCGCCCTCGGCTGCCTCCCCAGGGTGTGCGTTAGCAGGAAGCTGGATCAGAAATGGAGCAGCCGGGACCTGAACCCGTCCCTGATATGGGTGCGGGCCTCCCAAACAGCAACTTCAGCAGATGTGAATGTTTTATTTAAATAAATATTTTATGACGTCTGTTGGCCACACAGGCCACTAAAACCACAGAAAAAGCAACCATGGAGGGGTGGGGACAGCTGTCCCTCCCGGTTGCAGGAGAGGTGGGTGGGCCCCGGCTCTGGGACCCTTCTTCAGCTCGATGTCCCTGGAGACCCGTCCCCCGGGCCTCACCCTACAACCCCACCCTGTGTGGACGACCACCTGCCTGCCGCCCCTTGGGCCTCACCCGCCCGGCTGGAAACCTCACAGCTCCCACGGGGCCTCGCCTGGAACTCAGCGCAGCTGCTTCCTTCAGCAGCCGCCTCGCCAGGGCCCCTCCCAACACCTGCAGCCCTGGCTCCCACGCACTCAGGTAGGAAGGGAAAGGGAGAGGCGCCAACGAGCTGGGCCGGGTTCTGCTGAGAGCCTGCAGGGCCTGGAGCAGAGCTGGGCTGGGCAGGGGGCACGCAGCCGGAAGGCCCCTCAGAGAGCACCCCCCCCCCCCCGAGCCTTGAGTCCTTGGTCTCACCATC